ATTGACTTTTCTTGGAAGCTTCGTAACATAATGTTGAGGTTTATGTATGTTCCAGCCCCTCACACTAGTCAAAGGCTAGCTGATAGGTTGTTTGATTCACTTCTTGATTGGAACATTGATGGTAAGTTGTCCTCAATCACACTGGACAACTTTACCACCAATGATTCAATGATATTTCATATGCGAAATAAGCTTGTGAGCAATGATCTGTTGCTTGATGGTAAACTGATTCATATGAGGTGTTCAGCTCATATTCTGAACTTGATTGTGAGGGATGGTTTGGATGCAATCAAAGATGCTATACATTTGATTAGGGAGAGTGTAGCTTACTGGAATTCTACACCTAAGAGGGTTCAAACCTTCTTCGAAGTTGTTAAGCAACTAAAGTTGACATTTGAGAAAAAACTGGTACTTGATTGTCCAACTAGCTGGAATTCCACATACCATGTGCTCTCTGTTGCTCTTTAATATAAGGATGTTTTCTTTCGTTTGAGCTTGAGGGACAGTCAATACACATCTGTTCCTTCTAGTTCACATTGGGAATTTGCATCTGTTGTGATTGATAAGCTCGAAATATTTTCTGAGATAACTCAGTTATTCTCTGGTTCCAAGTATCCGACTGCCAATCTTTTCTTCCCAAAGATTTGTGACTTGAGATTGAAACTGAATGAGTGGGATCTTGATCCCAACCCTGTGATTTTTGGAATGGCCAGTCAAATGTCTGAGAAGTTTGATAAGTACTGGGATGATATCCATCTTGTACTTGTTGTTTCGGTTGTTTTGGATCCTAGATATAAGCTCCATGTGATTGAATACTATGCTGGGAAGTTTGGGAGTATGGAAACTGACTTGGTTGGTGAGAATATCAAGAAGATTATTTGTGGTTTGATTCTTGATTATCAAACCAAAGCCGAGAAGAAGTTTGGTTCTGAAACTGGAACTTCTTCTGCTAGTTCTGGATCTGTCTCGGCTACTGAACTTGACTTTGAGCTCTTTGTAAGTCAAAGGAAAAAGAGCAAGAGTTCTTTGATAACTACTGAGTTGGATATGTATCTTGCTGAGGATATTATTCCTCGGACAACAGACTTTGATCTGCTCTTATGGTGGAAACTGAATGGTCTCAAGTATCCCACCTTGCAAGCAATTGCAAGGGACCTTCTGGCAATCCCAATTACATCTGTTGCTTCTGAAAGTGCATTTAGTTCTGGTGGGAGGTTGTTAGACCCTCACCGGAGCAGGCTTCATTATTCCACTGTTGAATCAATGATGTGCACACGAAGTTGGATTATGGAAGACATGCAACGAGGTAACATGCAACTAAATCTCTAAATTCTAGTACAACTAATTTTGTTTAAGTGTAACTAATATTTGTATACACTTTTCTGTAGATTCGGAGACTGCTGCTGTGGAGGCATTGGAGGGAGTCTTCTCAGCACTGTCAGTCGAAGATACTAATGTAGAAGAGGCAGAACCTGGGGGTAAAAAAATTAGTGCATTTCTAATTTTGTTCATTGAGATTTGAGGTTGAACTAATGTGTTTTGCTTTCTGGTTTTTAGGTCCAGAAATGGTGTTCCTGAGATCACCATTTGGCCATGAAGACTGATCCATTCTCTACTGTCCAGCCAGGTTAATTACTGTAAAACTTCTTGTCTTTTGTTGCAAGAACCTGGAGTTTGTTGGTGTTACTAGTTAGGCTTAGGGACTTAAGTCTTTTTACTTGAATGTTGGTGCAGAATTTCAATTGATGAATGATGAATGCCGCTACCTGCTCTTGAGTAAGATGGCTAATGGCTTGATGGGTTCATATTGCTCGAAGGAAGGCTACTGCTGGTGCAGAATTTCAAGTTGAAGCTTCATCTTGCTCGAAGGAAGGCTGCTGTTGGAATTGATCTCAATAGTTAGGATGGCTTGGAGCTTTGTTTAGCTTAGTTGTTCTTGCTTTGAATAAGACTCGGCAATCAGACTGCTGAGAATGGATTCTCTTTTGTTGATTTCAGTTCGGATGATTTGATATTGTTCTTGATTGTTGATCACTTTCAAATTTCGAATGTTGTTGCTGTCAGTTTCAGACTTCAGTCTTTCAGATCTTTTATTGATAATAAAAGGAGATGTCAGATGTTCACTTGTTCAATTTTTTTTTTCATTTTACTTGGTCATTTTTGTTGGCATTGTTGCGGGTCGTTCAGACCCGTGGGCACCCGAAAACCCAGCGGTGACGGGGCTGGGTATACTACCAGACCCGGAAGTCTGTTTGGGCCGGGGACGGGTAAACCCGAAGCCCAAGGTGGGCGGGGAACGGATACAGGGTACCCGGCCCCGATCCGCCCCGTTGCCATGCCTACAACTAGCTTTCAAATCCTTTGGAAACGCTGCACGGAGCCTTAACCATTGTATTATGATTTCAATAGATAAGAGAGGTTGGAATCTCATCAATCTATAAAAGAGTGGACCGTCGCTCACACATCTATATTTTGCATATGACTTAGTTATGTTTGCAAGGTGGATGTTAACACAAGGAACGTTTATCCTAGAGTGCCTCAATAGCTTCTGTGATGCATCATGTGAAGAGATCGGTAGGGCTACATCTACTTCTCCAAGAACACGAGGAAATACACCAAGGAGAAAATCAGCAGACTACTTGGCATTAAACAAATTGACATTTCGATAAGTATCTCGGCGTGTCGGTTATTCATGACAGAGCTACAAAGGATACTTACAAATACACCACGGAGAAATTTGAGCAATGCTTGGCTTGCTGGAAGGCACGAAGTCTTTCTCTTTGCTGGGCAACTCACTCTTGCAGTCTCTGTCCTCAACGCTCGGCCCAACTACACAATGCAAACAATTGTCTTACCTTGTCACATACGCAGCGTCATAGACAAATATATCTAACCCTTTTGTATGTGGAGCGAAAGATGGGAACAACAAGGCGCATTTGGTCTATTGGGATAATATCTGTAATTGGAAAGAAGAAGGAGGACTTGGTCTGTGCTCGGCTCGAGCGTCCCATAGATTTGGAAATAAGAGACGATAGTGTTACATGTTTCAAAACTATTGTGCACAACGGACAGGTTGGGTTGTCCCTTTGATTGAGTTTCTTATTAATAATTCCAGGGATGTGGAATGTTGACCGGATCAAATTAACAAAGTTTTTTTATGGAGATGAAGGAAATGTCAATTTTACTACACGCTCAAATAGGGGTGGGATTCGGTAATCCGGTAAACGGTTTACCGTTTTACCGAACCGGTAACCGACGGTAAACGGTAAACCGTTTACCGGCGGTATCAGCAGCCGAGAGGAAATATGGGGGTGTCGGTATACCGAATCCGGTATCGGTAAATACCGACGGTAAGTCGGTAATACCGATACCGAACCCCAATGCCCTTTCTACTGCCTCCCCAACCCTCCCGCACCCTGCCCTTGCCCTCTCCGCCAGGCCTGGGGCTCCCAATCATTGATGTTGCTTCCGCCACCACCTCACCGCTGCCACCACCACCACCCTCTGCTTGACCAAAACTACAAGATCCCAGTAGAAGAAGAAGGTAATAAATAAGGTAACTAGTCTACTACTACTTTTGGATGGAATGGATCAGCCGCTTTTGGGATGGGTATATATTATTATTATTATATATAAGGGTAAAATTAATTATGTTGTTGAAGTTGAAGATGGGTGTGTTGTATTTTGGATTAATTCCAGTACTGCTACTGCTGCCAGAAGGGTTGTTCTCTTCTCGTCTTCTTCGCCGGACGCCTCTCAAGATTGCTGACAGACGACCAGCCGCAGCACGACGACGGCGAGTCGCGACGGCGCCGAGCTTCCAGAGACGAGCTTCCCCTGGCCCTGAGGTGACGGCGTCGAGCTTCCCCTGGCCGACGTGTGAGTCGTGACCAGCTCTTCCCTGCCGCCGCCAAGCCGCCACTACTTGCCTCCTCGCCTCGACGCCTCCTGCCATCCTTGGAGCTGGAGGTAAGATTGAATGATTGATTAGTGGGTGATGAAATCATGAAATTATAATGCAGAAGCCAAAAACCCAACTGACAATAGTGGACTGGTTTGAAATTATGATTGATTTGCGGTAATTCGGTAAACCGGTTTGTAACCGTTTACCGGTAATTCGGTAATCGGTAAACCGGTTACAAACCGGTATCGGTAAACGGTAAACAGTTTGGCCACCCTCGATAAACCGTTTACCGACCGATTCCCACCCCTACGCTCAAACATCTGTGATCATTCTCTGCAAAGTGCAAAGGTATGTGAAAACATTTTATCCTTAATTAACCATGAATTAGTGGATCAGCAACTAATTAAACGAGGAATGAATTTATGCAAACGGCAGCTAGTAGGTCGGCGACGGCCGACGAAGAACAGGAATCAGCGACGAAGTGGGGAACATGTTTCAGTTCCGTTGAGTCCTCTGCTTCCACGGGAAAGGTCGACAGAGAGAATGAAATCGGAGAAACCGTGCATCCAAAAAACAGAGGACTTGGGGCTTCCTTAAAAACAGAGGAACAACTTAGCAAGAGTTATTAAGTAATCAGTGATTAAGTAGGAGATTAGGATGGACAGGAACCAATAGAACATAAGAATTAGGACAACTGCACAAGCCCAGTAAGTTATGAGGAGCCAACTTGTTCATCCATTGACTAACTTTGTTTGTTAACGCGGGAATAATTTTGACGAGAATGGAATATCCATATTCCCACCATCGACGGTGACTCCAAGACTTTGACAATTGGGCGATTACCCCATCATTGTTTCTTCCCGATATCCCAAAGAGATGCCATTGACATTGACTTTGGACATGGAGCTTCCAACCCACAATACAATACAATTCATACTCATACTCCTCGTTGTTTTTAATAATTTTCATTATCCATACTTTTTTGTTGATAAAAACTCTGTTTTTTGGTGACCCTTTTTCTGAACGGATACATAAATCAGATTACCGCTAATAAAAACTAGCTCCGCAAAAAGATCGGCTTTCAATGCTCTGATTTTTTTCGCTGCTGCTCTCTGTTCAAATAGCTTTTGATCGAGCTCTGTGATTCTGTTAAATCAGTTTCTCAGGCGACGGGATCCCGAAATCGGAAATCACGGTGTAATTGGTTTCGGGGAACCGTTTGGGGTTTTATACTTTTGATTTTTTTTTCCTCTCGATTTCATTCGATTTGGGAACACGATGGAGCCGGGGCAGGGTACCGTTGTATTCGGGTCGTGGATCCGGAGACCGGAGAGCGTGAATTTGGTCGTTTTGGGGAAGTCGAGAACTAGCGGCGGCCGCCATTTTTCTTCTTCCTCCCCATCTTTGCTCGAGATCTTCTCCTTCGATCACAACACCGCCTCTATTTCTTCCTCTCCCTTGGTTCGTGTTTCATTCCTTCCTCCCCCCCGTACTGTGTGCGCAACTCTTTTTCCACCGAGTTTGAACAAAACCCAGTTTCCGTTTCTGATTGCTGCTGCTTGGTCGTGCTCACAGGCTACGTACGAGTTGGAAGAAGCAGACGGCGATTTAGTTTCGATTGCGGTGCACCCCACAGGAGACGATTTCGTGTGTTCCACTACCAATGGTGGCTGCAAGTGAGTTCCTTTCTGCCCAAAATTTGCTTTAATTAGTGGAAAGATAGTGGGTTTATGTCTAGCTAGGTTTCCTCTGAGTTTCAAAGGGTTTTGCTTGCTGGATGTATTCTCACTTGTGAGTGAGGTGTTGGTTGATTTTACCCAGTAAAGTGTGTGGCATGATCTGTGGAAGTGTTTCATGGTGAAATTGTGAAAGCAACTCACACTTGAGAGAATGCTGCACCTTTCCACTAGAAGGACCTTGTCATATACTTACAAAGTGGTTTTGTAATTGCTTATCAGATCATTTGAGTTGCATGGCGAAGAAACAAACTTCACGTTACTGGCCAAGGACTTGCCGGCTCTTCAAAGTTTCGGTCCCCAAAAGTGCCTGGCTTTCAGCGTGGATGGTTCTAAATTTGCCTCTGGTGGTGTGGTAAGCAAATTCCATCGAGTGTTCTTTTTGTGCTCTATGATGGTCCTTTTACAAATGCCAGTAGTAAAATGCAGTTGTTTGTTCAATCAACTACAGGATGGGCATCTCAGGATTCTGAATTGGCCAAGTCTCGGCAGCATTCTTGATGAACCAAGAGCTCACAAATCTTTCCATGATATGGATTTCAGGTCAGCTTAGCTGATTATGTACATTCATATTTCTGTGCTAGTTAAACCACCTTAAGCTTCAGATTTTTTCTAATAGGCTTTGAATTCTGAAAAATGTTGTTTTGTTTGTTTGTTTTATATTGTAGCCTAGATTCAGAGTTCTTAGCTTCAACATCTATTGATGGTTCTGGGAGAATATGGAAGACAGAGGATGGTTCGCCTGTGGCTTCTTTGGCTCGAAGTGCTGTATGATTAAACTTAAGCTAAACCCTTTTAGTGTTTGGTCAGTGGTAGTTTCCCCCCCACCTTGATGCAGACTGTTTTTCTTTTTGTATAACAGGATGAAAAGATCGAATTATGCCGATTCTCCAAGGATGGGACAAAACCCTTTCTGTTTTGTGCTGTTCAGAAAGGTAAACTTGTCTGGCGTAGGCTTAATGATGCACTTTTGTAGCATTTCGAAGGTTGATTAAACCCATCAAGTTTGGTCTAAACTCAACTTTTGATCATTAAACAGGTGATAAGGCTGTCACTTCAGTTTATGATATAAGCTCGTGGAAGAAAATTGGCTTCAAGAGACTTCTTAAAAAGCCTGCTTCTATTATGTCTGTGAGCCTGGATGGGAAATATCTTGCCCTGTAAGTAGTTGTGTTACATGTTGGAGTTTGACTGTTAATGTCGTATCCTTGCCATAAAGATGACTCATCGTATGAACTTAGTTCGTCTCACATTCGTAAAGATGACTACGTTGTTGCATTATTGAAATGAAAATATGGGGAACTTTGATACTCTTTGTTATTTCAGTGTCTGTTACTAGACAGTTCGAGTTTGCTAGATAAGAGGCCATGATTATGCTCTAGAACACTGGGAGTGATTTCTTGTTACTCGAGTAGGATTGTATTCTCTTGTATGTCCTTTTCAATTTCCATGATTGTCTCCTGACATTTTTGAAAAACAATTCCATGATTGTAGGGGAAGTAAGGACGGCGACATATGTGTAGCTGAAGTGAAGAAGATGGAAGTCAGCCACTGGAGCAGGAGGCTGCACCTTGGTACAAACATCACATCTCTGGAGTTCTGTCCCAGCCAGAGGTAACTTCTCTCAATTTCTACTAGCCACACCAATACCGTCCTTGTTTTAACCTACTCCCTGCATTAGTAGTATCTTACCTTTTCCAGTTAGCATCGAAACTCCTCGGCTCTGGGAATCCAGTTAGTATACATACATTCCTGGTTCCTGGAACAAGGCCAAGTTGTGGACCGTCGTCCATCTACTATTCGATTCTCGCTTCCTTGTTCGGTAACATACATGTCTGATCAGCGGGTATCTTATTTTGTGGTATAGGGTTGTGCTTACCACCTCGAATCAGTGGGGTGCCGTTGTAACAAAGCTAACTGTTCCAGCAGATTGGAAAGGTCTCCCTCTCCCTTTCCCTCTTTGATTTCCAGATACAATATGCCTGTGTCCCTTTGATCATGAACAAGGCGATAGAGAGCGAAGACTGACCTCATACTCCTCTTACTTGATCAACTTGCAGAGTGGCAGATCTATGTGCTGCTACTGGGACTGTTCTTAGCATCCGCCATTGCGTTCTACGTTTTCTTCGAGAACTCGGATTCGTTTTGGAACTTCCCTCTTGGGCGCGATCAACCGGGCAGATCGAGGATTCAACCCATCTTCGGGGACACGCAGTCCTCCCCTGAAGACCCATTCGGGCCTGTAGATTTGTGACCCTGCAGAGTGCTGTTTTTAGCCTGTAGAAAACCCAGCTGCAGCTAAATGGTGGAAATAAATAAGGGGCTTTTGTGGTAGTTTTTGTTAACACGTTTTGAGATTTCCTCATGAGTAGTCGAAGGATTCTAACACAGCGGCTGGTAGCTTTAGCTGCATCTGGTGTTTCGTTTGTCATTAATCCTTGACAGGGAAAAATTTCAGGAAAATCCAGGAATCATTTCGAAGCTGTAATTAGTATAAGAATGTGTGTTATATTCATGGAGTTCAAAGAACTTGTTTATATTGATTGAAGCTCACAATGAACTTATCAGGCGCTTATATGTAACTCCATCATTTTTTTTGTGGTAGGAAGACAGACGCTAAAAGCTTCTAACCATCTACATAGGTCATAACTACTCACTTTAACATGATGTGTTCCAAAAGGTAGGCTATCGCCTAACTCCATCAATTTCATTGTGACTAAATAATGATTGTCATTTTGTATTCCACAAAATTTGACTATTTTTGAAATAAATTAAAGGTTTGACCATTTTATTGTATTATTATTTTGTTATTAAACACACCTTGTCGAGTATTATCCGATCTTGACTCGTTCTAGGTTAGTATTACTCGACTCGCAGTAGTATGGGGCGACATATCACATATGAATTACTTTTTACCTGTCTTGTTCTACCTTGTCAATTCTAAATATGTCCTATATTAATTAGTTTAGATATCTATTTCTATTTATCATATATTCACTAATCTTCAATCACAAAATGAAACTTAAAATAGGTACAACTCTACAAGACTTGATCTTTCAAAACTATTCATACGCAATTACTCTTTCTGCTACGATTATTTTTCATTAATAGAGTTTTTCCCTATATTTTATCATAAAAATTTAAATTTTGTATTTATTATTTTCAAATAATATATGAAAGTAAATCGATATGCCTGATCTATACAGTAGGGCTGGGAAACGGTGCGGTCTGCTCCAGACTGGTATATACGGTCTACGGTCCAGACCGAGATGCTGGAGTATAGATCACAGAGGCACAGACTATACGGTCTAAGACTAGACCACGCTTGTGCGGTCCGGTACGGTCTGGTCTAAATAGACCACACTGAACGAAAATGAACAATTTGATTAGTCAACCACCCAAAAAATTAAACGAATAGCCAAGAAAAGAATTATTTTATGCCTTAAAACATAAATTTCAACATGTATGAATAACTTTGACACCATAAATCTTAGTAAATAATAAAGATACAAAGTCAAAGCATCCCAACTTGCACCATAACGTCATGAACACTTACATAATGTCATATGGAGACATGATCGTCTCTACTCTCTAGCGAGCTAGATCAGTCCATACCAAGAAATCAAAACATCATATAATACAGACCATGGACTAGACCAGACCATATTTAATGATCTACGGTCCGGACCAAACTGTACTGTCCAGTTTGGACCATGATTTTCCAAACAGTTTGGTCTATTTTTTCATCCCTATGTACACATACCAATATTATCTAATCTGACTTCTGCTTGGTATAAAACGGGTAAGTATTGAGATACCCTCCAGCCCGTCCCGTTTTTTGAGGGTTACGGGTACCCAAATACCCATAATATATTTTACGGGATGAGACTTAAGATCAAGAATTGCTACTTTGGGTACTCGTGGGTTACCTATTAATACCCGTTTGAGTATTACGAGTACCTGTTATACTCATTATTAGTCCAAAGTTAATTGAACAAAAGTGCTCAAAATATAACTGGGTAGGAGAAGAGTCCGAGACTCTCACTCTTACCACAAATCTCTCTTAGCTCTGGTAATTTCATGGGGAAAAGCACCCGTAAGAAAAGAACATTGCTTCATTTTTCATTTGCAGCGTCTTCTTTTATCCAGGGCAAGTTTGCTTGACAGCATTTTGTATGTAAGGTTTGCCCAATTGTTTTTTCACGGAGTCAATGGTGCTACTCCCAACTGTCGCCAATTGTATGGGTATTTACTGGTAGTATGGGTATCAGTTATCCGTCCCGTACAGGTATAGGTACCCGTTAATTTGTACAAATTTGGGACATGAGATGGAGATTGTTCTTCAACTGGGATCGGGTACCGTTTAGCCATTGCCAATTAATTTCCACCAATTAATTCAATTTTTATTAAAAACCATAATTCTGCAAGAAACAAGAATCCAAGAAATCACGCGGTAATGAAATTTTGCGTCTCCACTTGGCGCGCTGTCGTTTCAACAAAAAAAGGAACATTAAAAAAATAAGAACACGCACAGTTCTTCGCTCTTTCCCTGTCTACCACACCACTCCAAAAAAATGCTAACTATCACACCACCACTCCCCCGTTAACACGCGAATCTGTCCGTCCGGTCCCCTACATTTTCTCCGGCGACACAATTCCCCGGCTTCCCACATGTTCCGATACTCCCAGCCTCCCGAAGTCGACGAAGCTGCCACCCCCACCACCACCGCCGCATCCAACGGCGCCGACGACGCCGTCGCCGATCAGACCCCTCACTCGATCCGGGACCGCCTCCGCTTCAAGCGCAATCCGAACCAGGCCACCTCCCCGACCGCCAGCACCTCCGGCCGGGGAGCCAAATCTAGAGAGGATCGCGCGCCTTCGCTGCGGAGCAGATGGCATCACCACCACGGGGCGGGAGGAGGGCGACGGAAGAGCTGGCTCGCGTTCCGCGGGGTTTATTTGTTCTACTTCGTCGTGGCATTCTCGGTGTTCGCGTTCGCCATCGCGTCCGTGCTGTTGCAGAGCTCCGTGACTGAGATGATGTTCAGTACTGGCTGGACCGAGCACAGGAGATCGGCGGGGGAAGGGTTGAGGTTGGGGACGACGTTGAGATTCGTGGCTGGGAGGAGATCGCGGCCGCTGGTGGAGGGGCAAGGGCTCGATCGAATCAGAATGCAGCGGGTTGCTCGAGTGGGCCTCCGGGCCCCTAAGCTTGCTGTTGTGAGTCTCTCCTCTCTCTCTCTCCATCCCATTCCTTTCGTTTTCGATTTTTCACGCAAGTCTACTGTGCCTATAGCCGTGCAATGGAGTTACGAAAGTCTGCCTCTGTTGTACTCGTTCGTTCTTCTACTTCTTTTTTGTTCTTTCCCGACTACTGTTCCAATTTGAGCTTTTCTCAATGTAGCAAGAACATGAGTATGTGAGGCTTTTGATGTTTGTGGTTGGGGCAATTGCATTGCATTTTGTGTTGAGAATTGGTGATGAGGTTAGTTTAGGGGGCAATCTATGAGATAATGCTGTTGGGTCTAGTGTGCTTGCTTTTTCAGTATGAGCGTACAGTTCATCCTAGATCATATCTGCTGTGATTTTGGATGGGATAGTTTTTCAACCTAGCGGGGACACATCTTGAACTGCCATGAACTAGTTAATGGATCGTTGTGGTGGATTGAGCGAGCTTGCGTTATTATCTTCTAGTATTAGAGGAGGTGCCGTGGAAAGACTTTACTGGTTCTTAATGCACGATATGAACTGATACCTTAGATTTCCTTGTGGCGACCCATTCAATAAACATCATAATCAATTTATTTTCTGGCAGATCGTCATACGTCGAGATCCATTTCAGGTTTTAGATAGTTAAGAGATTGTGTTGAAACTATTCGAGACAAGAAACAGTGTGTGACCTATTTTAAAGTCCTGGCCAATTTTCAGTTCCCTGTCGCAATGTCAATTATCGGCCATCACTTAGCATTAGGAGGTCCTAACTAATGTACCAGAATTGTGTAGCTTTGGGTAAAAGAGTTTTAAGCAGTTCTTATTTGCTTGTCTTGAATCCGATTCAATTAATTGCTGCTTGTTCTGAATAATGTCAGATTTTAGGAAACGTGAAGAAAAATCCGCAGTTGTTGATGTTGATTACGTTGATGAAGAATCTAAGAAATCTTGGCTATGCACTTCAGGTAACCCCCTTTCCCTTTCTTTCTATGTTATCCTATCCTATTTAGTTGTCATATACTCTGTTTCATCTGAGTTAAGTCAAGCCATCATCTCTTCAAACTTCGATCTAGGCAATTCTATGATCGACCTTATTGTGTGAATTTATCTAAACAAATTGGTGGAGGGCCAATTCTCTGTGTTTGCGTATTTAACTTCTACTTCAGAAAGGCTAATGCATGCCAGGATGCCTATTTGACAGATTTATGCACCAAAGAATGGTAGAGCACAATCAGTATTGGAGCAAACTGGTGGTCAGATATCAATACTACCGAATGAGAACTATAGCCATATCGATTGGTCCATGTATATTTCTTCACAATATTTCTCATGGCCTATCATTGTAGCCTTTTCTTTCACAACATGACTGCTATGCGGTTGTGGAGCTAGTAAACATATCTTGTGCATATTCTAATTCTGAGAGATCTCTACATTAATGGTTTTTTTGTAGGTTTGACGGTATTATTGTTGATTCCCTTCAAGGAAGAGAAGTCATGTCGAGGTCAGCTTATTCTGTTCTCTATTTTCCGTTGATTGCTTGAACTTCATGATTTCCATGTTCCATTGATTTCTCAGTTTAAGCTTTGGATGCTTAGGGTCCAGTCTCTACTTTCTGCGGTGTCCTTAATCAAATGGCTCTGGATGATTGTGCTGTATTTTTTTATTCTGTACACGGAATGTTGTGTACTCCGAAATGTTGTTGTCGATTCGAGGAATCGTTACCAAGTTATAATAGCCACTGCCAGGGTTCTTGTATAGTGCACTCCACAGAATACAGTGAACTTTTATGTAAGTTTGCACAAAGAAGGGAAATAGTGTATAGGAGGGAAGCAATATGTTAATGGAAATTGCTGTGAAGTCTAAGTAGATGGAATTGAATGTATATGCTTAAGCCCATAATCTATTTCGCTAAGAGTTTTCTTCTTCGACTCATATGTATGAAGATGATTATTGACTGTTTGCTTTGGTTTGATATGTTCTGGATAGTGAGTTTTATATTTGTGCAGCCTTATGCAGGAGCCTTTCTGTTCGATACCGGTTATCTGGATAATACAGGAAGATGCACTTGCTAATCGTCTTCCATTGTATGAGGAAAAGGGCTGGACACAGCTTGTGAGTTACTGGAGAAGTGCGTTTAGCAGAGCCAGCGTTGTAGTTTTCCCAGATTTCACCCTGCCGGTACAGATGCCATCATCTTATGTTTTTCTTTTTTATCTGGAATTAGCCGTATAATAAATGTTCTTCTTGTATCAGATGCTATATAGTGTGGTTGACCCTGGAAACTTCTTTGTGATTCCTGGATCACCGGTAGATGTCTGGGCTGCTGAAATCTACAGAAAGACCCATGACAAGCATCAGCTAAGGATGAACAATGGATTTGATAGAGAAGATATTGTAGTTTTAGTTGTTGGCAGTTCCTTCTTCTACAATGAATTGTCATGGGACTATGCTGTCGCAATGCATTCCCTGGGTCCCTTACTTGTAAAATATGCCAGAAGAAACGATGCTGAAGGATCATTCAAATTTGTCTTTTTATGTGGTAATTCAACTGACGGTGATGCTATACAGGTAACCATTCATTAGTTCTAACTGAAGTTGCATTTTCAGTCGAAGCATTTATCTTCTAATCTCTTTGGCCATAGCCTATTCTTACAAGGGCCTTTCTCGATATTTATGTGATGTCTATTTTCCAGTTTGCTCATGTGAAATTCTATAACCTGCAAAATATATGTTTTTTGGGATGACACACTAGGTTTGAAACTTGGGTCCGACATCACCTATTAGAGAAAAGCTAGTTGTCTGTCCTAGAAGGATGTTCTGGAATTGAAAGTGGATGAGAAAGTAGTAATCAACCTAACTATCCTAACATTTCAATGTGCAAAAACATTCTCTATATGTGTGTGATATCGTTTGAGTGTTTTATGTAAAGAGATCATTGAGTCAATCATCTAGGAAATAAATAAAAAGATATTATTTAAGCAGTCGATGCATTTATTTCATTTGCTTTGTTAGTCAGTCTCTGGAAGTTGAAGTTTTTTCATTTCTTCAAAACTCTCGCGATGATAAGGATGCATGATCTTGGAATCAAGAAATTTGAACAAAATCATGGGAAAAGTTGCCATGCCGAATTTAATTTGAAATTTACTTTCTGCAGACGATGTTTCTTTTATTGCTCTACTTTATGGTTTTCACAATTTTACTTACTACTGAGTCTGTCCTTTTCCTGTAGGAAGTTGCTTCTGGTTTGGGACTTATTCAAGGTTCCATAAGGCATTATGGTTTAAATGGTGATGTCAACAGTGTGTTGTTAATGGCAGACATAGTTCTTTATGGTTCTTCTCAGGATGAGCAGGGTTTTCCTCCTTTGATAATCCGAGCCATGACCTTTGGAATCCCTGTTGTGACACCTGAGATTCCCATTATGAAGAAATATGTGAGTCCACATTGGCTGGTCCAATCTTAATGTCCTTACAACCTGCTTTCATTATAGTTTTCTCTTCTTTCCCATTCATGACGTGATTCATCTATTTGCAGGTTTCTGATGAATCCCATGTGCTATTTTTCCCCAAGTATGATCCTGAAGCTTTGATGAGGACTTTCTCTCTTTTGATATCGGATGGAAGTCTTTCCAAACTAGCTAGAACTCTTTCTGTCTCTGGAAGGCTGTACGCCAAGGATATGCTTGCCTCTGAATGTGTATCTGGTTATGCTAAGCTTTTAGAGAATACACTTTCCTTCCCCTCAGCGGGTTTGCTGCCAGCTTCCGTGGATCGGCTTCAACAGATCACATGGGAATGGTCCTTGTTTGGTGAGGAGGTAGGAGGGGAAGCTGCTGACTCTAATATTAAAAGTTTGAGTGTTGTTCAGAATCTTGAAACAGAGGTTCAGGATCTTGTCACATCTACAAATACTTCTGAGATCACAACAGAGATATGGGAGTCTGATGCTTTGACCAAGTTAGATTGGGACGTATTAGACGAAATAGACAGTTCTGAAGAATTTGAGAATGTGGAGCTGGAACAGGTATGTTACCCTTTACACTTCAAAGTTGAGAATGCAGATCAAATTGGAACGTCACCCTTACCCTTCAAAGTTTAACAACAACCATAAGCCCTCTTTGGTTAAAGTAACAAAATGACCATGACCCCTGAGTGCAGGGTTGGTCCTTATCAATCCAGCACAATTCTTATTTCTTTTCTTATGATTTTGCGCTGCTTTCTATTTTAACCTAGGTGTTTATCTGTAGGTTGAAGAGAGGATGGACAAACACCCAGGCGTGTGGGATGAGATATACCGCAATGCAAGAAAAGCCGAAAAACTAAAGTTTGAAACTAATGAAAGGGACGAGGGAGAGCTGGAACGGACAGGACAGCCAGTTTGTATTTATGAGATATACCCTGGAGCTGGTGCCTGGCCATTTTTGCACCATGGTTCCTTGTACCGCGGATTAAGTCTTGTAAGTTCAAAGCCTTGGCTCATTTCTCGTAGTTTCGAGTAACTACTTTAATTATGTTCTTACTATCTCTTCCTCTATTCCTGTTTCAAAGTTCAACTTGTTAGTTAGTTGATTAAGTTTATGGTTTGGGAGTTCTCATTGCACAGTTTTTCTGTATCATTGCTAACTTGCTTCTGTCAGTCTACAAAAGCTCGGAGATCAAGATCAGATGACGTGGATGCAGTGGCCCGCCTCCCTCTATTGAATGACACATACTATCGAGATATACTATGCGAGATGGGTGGAATGTTTTCAATTGCAAACAAGGTGGACAACATTCACAAGAGACCTTGGATTGGGTTCCAGTCTTGGCGTGCCACGGGTAGGAAGGTATCTTCAGTTTTGCTGTGGACATTCTATTTGTTACCCTTGGCACTTTTTGCGATACACAAATTATGTGATTGTGGTATCAACTGTTGTAAAAATCTGGTTAGCTTAGAGATTTGATCTCTCGTCTCCTAATCACTCATCTGTGTTTATTGGAGCAGGTTTCATTATCTCCTAAAGCTGAAAGAGTTCTGGAAGAGAAAATACAGAGAGAGACTGTAGGAGATGTAATATACTTTTGGACACGATTGGACATGGATTATGAAGCTACAGCAGGCAGTGTCAAACTAGGGTTCTGGTCTGTGTGTGACTTACTAAATGCAGGGCACTGCAGGTATATCATTCCAAGTTTCATACACATGTATTCTTCCCATATTTGAGCAAAAAGCATGTTCATGTTCTTTTGGATGCAGTAACTAAGGAAAATGGGAAACACAACTTGCATATTTACCATATTTGACGACTCGAAAATATAGTTATATGCATGAATCTAACTGCTGGTGCCCTTCATGCAGAACGACCTTTGAAAATGCATTTCGGCAGATGTATTCCCTCCCATCACATCTAGAAGGTCTTCCACCAATGCCAGAAGATGGAGGTCACTGGTCTGCCTTGCATAGCTGGGCGATGCCAACCCCTTCATTTTTGGAGTTCATTATGTTTTCAAGGTAAGCATACAAAAAAAAAAAAAAAAAAAAATCTAACCAGACTACAACGCTAATATGACATCTTACAAATAAATGCATCTGCAGAATGTTTGTTGATTCCCTCGATTCTCTGCAAGCCAATTCCGGTCTAGCATGTACATTGAGTTCCTCAGAAGTTGAGGTGAGAGATGCTTCATTACCTCTTGGTTTTATCTAAAGCAAGTACACTTCCGAGTAAAAAGTAACGCAGTGTCTCATGCTATATGAACAGGAAAAGCACTGCTATTGTCGAATAGCAGAGCTCCTCGTAAACGTCTGGGCTTACCACAGTGGAAGAAAAATGGTCTACATAGATCCAGAAACCGGCATTTTCGAGGAGCAGCACTCGATCGAAGAACGCAAGGGAGCAGTCATGTGGTCGAAGTACATGAATCTAACACTGCTCAAGAGCATGGATGAAGACCTCGCTGAGGCAGCTGACGACGGCGACCTGCTGAGGGAAAAGTGGCTGTGGCCACTGACAGGGGAAGTGCACTGGCAAGGGATCTACGAGAGGGAGAGAGTGGAACGGTACCGCCAGAAAATGGACAAGAAGAGGAAGAACAGGGAGAAACTGGTCGAGAGAAATAGGATAGGATACAAGCAGAAACCACTCTGACACCTCCGCCGTCAGCTGCTTTGATCATTCGGAAGTAGGAAGAAGATCCATAATGTACAACAATGTCGACAAAGACTGCGCGAATCTAACGTTGATTTTTCCGCCTTCCTGAAAGTCCTTGGCCGCCGCGGCTTCAGATTCGCGCGCGAGTCTGACTCCTAACACGGATGAAGGTCACCCAGATCAACCTGTAACCCATTCTCTCAGAGCTCAGTCAGGTAAGGAAAGTGCTTGTTAGCATTTTTCTGTTTCTCTAACAGCATTGCAACTATTCAGCACCATCCAGCTATTTCCCGGGGATTCCGTTGTGAAGAAGGTAGAAACAGGAAGAAGAAGAAGAAGAAGAAGCAGCGCTTTCCTCCAGTTGCCGCCATGGAAGGAGAGAATCGATTAGTTGGTTGATTGGTGCCATTTTTGGTGGGAAGTTAGTACTACCATGAATTAGCAATTCTTTTTCTTAATTTTTTGGTCTGTTGTTAAAAACAATTTTACGGACCAAGTAGTTGGAGATTGGTGTAATTCTTTATCTGTACAAGCAGTGGAAGTAATACATACTTGATCAAATCACACACGTTTTGCAAATCTCAATCTGATCCCATCGTCGACGAACCCGCCGCAGTTGCAAATTTTCGAGCAAGCACAGTATTACTGATCATGGAATGGCTTCATCAATCATCAACAGGCGCTTACATCCTGTGTTTGTTTGTTTGTTGTTGTCATTTCTCAACATACTGTTGTTACAAATGCCCTAAGAAAATAAAAATGCAGAGGCAATTGCTGCTGCTGCTGCAGCTTCAACTCAATTTGAGCACTACTCCTGCCGCGCTTCGCTTCTTCGTCGATTATGGCGAGACAAGAAGCTCGGTTGTTCAATTCAAACACACGCTACGAACACAATAGCTGAATCATTCATTTCCTTTTGTGGTGGTGTGGTCTTGAAGGAATCCCAAGTCGAGCCCTCAAATTTGCCCCTGCCTGAACGAAGTCCTCGACCTGCGACGGAAATTTTACCATTCTCAAAACCCTAGGCCGAAATTTATTTTCTTCATTTGCAGCGCTGATGAAAAGGAAGCGAGAGTGAAAAGGGGAAAGATGATCGGGAACCTTGTGGATGCCGGAAGCGTGAAGGGCGGAAACGGAGGCTGCGGCCGCGGAGCCGACGAAGAGGGAGGCGACCGCGAAGGCCTTAAGCGGCATCAGACCACAGGATCCGTCGTAGCCTCTCCGGAGCGACGAAATGCCGCAGCCCGTTAGCATGGCGCTTCCTGCACCCCACCAAACCCAACGGATTTCATCGCCGCCGGCGGCGGCGGGTTGATTTGCGTCCTCCATATCTCTCCTTCCCGGGGCACACCAGTTTTTTTTTTTTTTTTTCCTATTCCTCGATCGGAACTGGTACAGTGGGACTGAATACTGATCAGTGATAATTTTGTACCAGTCTTACAGGCTGCGGGGGTTGGGCTTGAGCTGCGGGCCAATAATAATAAGAAACCTAAAGCCCAAAAATTATTTTATTGAAAAAACAAAATTAAAGTTTAGTCACTGTTTTGTATTAAAAGATAAGTTGTGTTACCGTTTATGATAATTATCTGAAAATGGTTGTTTCAGTCTTTGCAACAAAAGGTTAAAGGGTTTTAGAGGAAGACGACCCAAAAACCCCTCGTCTCGCCGAACTCTGAAAATACAGCTGTAGCGAATCCTCTCTTTCCCTTCCCCCAAGTCACTCACCGCCTTCTCCGCCATCAGGTTTCTTCCTCGCTCTCATCTCCATCCATTACTACGACTCCCAGTCTGCTCGTCATTTCTCTGTTTCTTCCACTCCTATTGTCTCTTCTCACTTCCATGGCGGGTCCGATAATGACTGTCAATCTCGTTTTGAAACCGGTGTCTTTGGGATCAACTTTTCCCCCCTGGAAATTTCAGCTGAGATTTATTAACTTTGCAGGTGAACTCTATGCGCCAACGAACAAGGGTTGACTTGGGATCAGCTTCATGCGCTATTTGAAGGGTAGCGGTGGTTATGGCCGGACGCTTGCCCGTGCCTGGTCCAGTCAATCTCGGCGGAGTAGGGTATTTGGCATCCGGCTTCCAAGGGAGGAGAGGAAGGCCATGGTTGAATCGTTTGTCAAGCAGTAATTCGCCCTATCCCTCCGCTTGATTTCATTTTTACTTTGTGAATGATTGGATTTTGATTGACTTCCTAGCAGTTCCTAGTTGCTTATGGGCTAATGGGGTTTCGAATTTTGAGAGAAGAGTAGAACGAAGCTATAGGAGTGACCCGTGATGTTCTCTTTTTTATCTGTGTCTCCTTGTTGCAGGTATCAGCAGTCGAGCAATGGGAAGTTTCCTTCCATCACGTTGACAAAGCTAGAAGTAGGTGGTTCATACCCGGTTGTGCGCCATATTCTTCAAGAAGTTAAGTTTGTTTGGAGTCGAGATCAAGTACCGAAACCGGGTGTTGCTGAACAATACCCTCGAGGTACAATATCCACAGAACCTCAACCATCTTCCGTAACTTTGTCATCGAATGGGGCTGCATCAATGGCTGATGAGGGGCATTGCAAATTGGGTGGGGCACATCATCCAGTTTATGATGTGCTTGGTGCAGAATCTAGACAGCTAGATATTGAAAACGTGCGGGAAATTGATGGCGATTCGGTAACTGTCAAGAGATTGAATTCTGGTTTGGCAGAAGTTGCTGGGGTTAGTGAGGTTAAGCAACCGGCAGGAATGGTATTGGAGGCGCTTCGTTTAGAAGGAGATGTGGATTCCGACAGAGCAAATGCTGCTGAGGTTCAAACAAGCGGATCACTAGAGCAGAATGAACATGCCAAAGAAGTGTTGGATGTAGTTGTAGACACCCCTTCATTGGAAATGAACGATTCTGTAAAACTAAGTCTTGTAGAAGGTCAAGCTAGTCGAGGATCAATGGGAGTAGAGGAAATTGTTGAAGTGAAAATATCTGAGGTTAAAGTAATTCCAAAAGGGAAAGTAGCTGTAGATACATCTCATTCACAGCCTGTGCTAACTGGTGAAAGAGAGGAACTAGACAACAGAATTCAAGTTTCCAGCCCAGATAAAGATCGCACTTTAGAGCAATCATACAGCGGGAGCGAGAAGGTAATCGTCCAAAGTAATTTAATAATTTTACCTCTTTTGTTTGTCCTTCCCAGTATATCAAAGTTGAGTGTATACGAGGAGCAACATAATTGCTTAGCCAAAGCTCCAATCCAAGACTTGCTATTTTTCTTGTTGTCTTGTGACTGAAGTAGGGATTTACTCTTCGGATCATGCAATCCTGTCAATACCTGATTTGCTTTTGTTTATTCTTCTCATGCGGAAGGAAGTGGTGGATTATCAGAACTCATTGGCCTGCAAGTTACCTAGGGAGGAGAGGAAGGCCATGGTTGAATCGTTTGTGAAGCAGTAATTCGCCCTATCCCACTCTATCTCATTTTTCTTTGTGAATGATCGATTAATTGATTTCCTAGCAGTTCCTAGTTGCTTATGGCTCATGGGGTTTCCAATTTTGAGAGAAGAGTAGAACAAACCTATAGGAGTGACTGGTGAATCGTGATGTTATCTTTTATCTATGTTTTCTTGTTGCAGGTATCAGGAGTCAAACAATGGGAAGTTTCCTTCCATCAAGTTGACAAGGCAAGCAGTAGGTGGTTCATACCCGGTCGTGCGCCATATTCTTCAAGAAGTTAAATTTGTTTGGAGCCGAGATCAAGTACCAAAACTGGCTCCTGCTGAACAATTCCCTGAAGGTATAATATCCACAGAACCTCAACCATCTTCCGGGACTTTGTCATCGAATGGGACTGCATCAATGGCTGATGAGCAGCACTACAAATCGGAAGAGGCGCATCGTCCAGTTTCTGATGTGCTTGGTGCGGAATCTAAACAGCTAGATATTGAGAACCTGCGAGAAATTGATGGCGATTCGGTATCTGTCGAGAGATTGAATTCTGATTTGGCAGAAGTTGCTGGGGTTAAGCAACCGGCAGGAATAGTATTGGAGGCGTATTGTGTAGAAGGAGATGTGGATTCCGACAGAGCAAATGCTGCCGACGTTCAAACAAGCAGATCACTAGAGCAGAATGAAAATGCCAAAGAAGTGTTGGCTGTAGTTGTAGATACCCTTTCATTGGAAATGAAGGATTCTGCAAAACAAAGTCTTGTAGAAGGTCAATCTAGTCGAGGATCAATGGGAGTAGAGGAAATTGTTGAAGTGAAAACATGTGAGGTTAAAGTAACTCCAAAAGGGAATGTAGCTGTAGATACATCTCATTCACAGCCTGTGCTTACTGGTGAAAGGGAGGAACTAGACAGAAGAATTCAAGTTTGCAGCCCAGATAAAGATCGCACTTTAGAGCAATCATACAGCGGGAACGAGAAGGTAATCGTCCAAAGTAATTTAATTGTTTGACCTCTTTTGTTTGTCCTTCCCCATATATCAAAGTTGAATGCATACGAGGAGCAACAGAATCACTAGCCAAATCTCCAATCCAAGACTTGTTCTTTTTCTAACTGTCTTGTGACTGAAGTAAGGATTTACTCTTCGGATCATGCAATCCTGTCAATACCTGATTTGCTTTTGTTTATTCTTCTCATGCGGAAGGAAGTGGTGGATTATCAGAACTCATTGGCCTGCAAGGTACCTAGGGAGGAGAGGAAGGCCTTGGTTGAATCGTTTGTGAAGCAGTAATCCGCCCTATCCCACTTTATCTCATTTTTCTTTGTGAATGATCGAATTTTAATTGATTTCCTAGCAGTCCTAGTTGCTTATGGCTCATGGGGTTTCCACTTTTGAAAGAAGAGTAGAACAAACCTATAGGAGTGACTGGTGAATCGTAATGTTCTCTTTTATCTGTGTTTTCTTGTTGCAGGTATCAGGAGTCAAACAATGGGAAGTTTCCTTCCATCAAGTTGACAAAGCAAGCAGTAGGTGGTTCATACCTGGTTGTGCGCCATATTCTTCAAGAAGTTAAATTTGTTTGGAGCCGAGATCAAGTACCAAAACCGGGTCCTGCTGAACAATTCCCTCAAGGTACAATATCCACAGAACCTCAACCATCTTCCGGGACTTTGTCATCGAATGGAACTGCATCAATGGCTGATGAGCAGCACTCCAAATCGGAAGAGGCGCATCGTCCAGTTTCTGATGTGCTTGGTGCGGAATCTAAACAACTAGATATTGAGAACCTGCAAGAAATTGATGGCGATTTGGTAACTGTCGAGAGATTGAATTCTGGTGGGGCAGGAGTTGGTGGGGTTCGAGCAAGTGGGAGTGAGGGTAATAAGCAACCGGCAGGCATGGTATTGGAGGCGTATTGTTTAGAAGGAGATGTGGATTACAGCAGAGCAAATGCTGCAGAGGTTCAAACAAGTGGATCATTAGAGCAGACTGAACATACCACAGAAGTTTTGAATGTATTTGTAGATACCCCTTCATTGGAAATGAACGAGTCTGCAAAACAAAGTCTTGTAGAAGGTAAAGCTACTCGAGGACCAATGAGAGTAGAGGAAATCGTTGAAGTGAGAACATCCGACATTAAAGTAACTCCAAAAGGGAATGTAGCTGTAGAGACACCTCATCTGCAGGCTGTACCAACTGGTGAAAGGGAGGAACTAGACACAAGAAATCAAGTTTCAAGCACAGATAAAGATCGCACTTTAGAGCAATCATATAGCAGGAGCGAGAAGGTAATTTATACAGCGTAATTTAATTGTTTTACTTCTTTGGTTTTCCTTCCACGTACATCAAGTTGAATGTTTACGAGGAGCAACATAATCACTTAGCTAAAGCTCCAATTCAAGACTTGTTCTTTTCTTGCTTTCTTGTGACTGAAGTAAGGATTTATTCTTCGGATCATGCAGTGCTGTCAAAACATGATTTGCTTTTGTTTGAACTTCTCATGCGGAAGGAAGTGGTGGATTATCAAAACTCACTGGCCTGCAAGTTACCTAGACTAGACTGAGTTTAAGATGCCATAACAAATATGTTGCTTTCGCAGGTGGAGATGATTACCGACGACACTTCAGTAAATGCTGGTGGTGTCCATCAGTCAGATTTCCGAGCAGACATACCAAACAATGTTGGGTAAACACAGACTACCAACCTGAACATGTTTCTGACTTTCCTTTTAACCATTGTGCAGTTAACTGAAAGCTGCAAGGAGCAGTAGTGTATTTTGATTTAAAAGTCCCTCCTCTGACTTCCATTTTATGGGTAGCAGGTCAAAGGATGAAAGAGCACTGGCTGCACCTCTGGAGCGGGAAACCAAGACCATTGGAGCTGCTTTGAAATCGTTCGTAGTAACTGCCTTTAGGAAATTTTGGCCTGGATAATCAATTGAATCCGTTGTGTAGAGAGAGTGCATTCACCATTTGATTTTTGCAGTGCAGAGTGAATATAGGTTGTCTTGTTGGTTACTGCTGAATATAGGTTGATCTCCTGGTTATAGGTGCGTTAAAAATTGGAAGGGTTGCAGTGATGTTGCCAAAGATTTTTTTTATGTTCGATAACTTAATTAGATTCAGCATTTCTACATATCAGGTTCGTAGAGTAATGTTTTTTTTTATGTGAGAACAGGCGCCCTAACCTTTATTGCATTCGAATAATCCGGGGTGTTTGAATCCACGATTGTTCAAAATACAGCCAATAGGCAAGAGTAGTAGTGCACCTAGGATGGCAAAAATATCCGTAACCGTGGATGTCCGCCCGAATCCTGTCTAATCGGGTAGGGTAAAACCCGAATCCGAAGGACATTTAGTGGGTACGGGTAAAATTCGAACCTGAATATTGCGGGTAATGGGTGGACATGGGTTTCTCACTATCCAGCCCCCGCCCGATTATACACATGCTTATGTATTTTGTCTAGAAATAATCATTATTTTTCTCTAACATTTTTATATTTAGCATATAAATATAATATTTTCATGAAATTGTGTAGTTTTAATGAATTTTCTTCATTTTAGTTCATAATTGTCGTACTTTTCCTCTTACGTAATATGAGAATAAGTGTGAATGTTAATATATTTGTTGGAGTTATGAAGAGAAATTATTACCCATGGATAACCGTGGATACCCGAAACCCGAACGGGTATGGACATGGTTTTGACTTTTTACCCCTTTCACATGTGGGTATGGGTATGGGTATGGGTAAAACCCGAACTACTATGAGTAGGGTAACGAACTACTATGGCATGAACCCCTCTTTTCAAGCGATTTCCCTTTCTGGCCACCCCATCTTCTTTTTTTCCCCTCCGTCGATCCACTGGCGGCTGATAAAGTTTCATAATTGGAGCCCCATCAAAGATCCTTTATTCCAAAGACCAACCGAATCAACGAGTGGTGGAAATTAACATGCCGAGTTCATTCTGTTACAGTTAACAGAAGATGAATATTGGGTATTCGAACCCAGTAGTATTTTGACGTTCTTCCATTCACATTCTTTGAGTAATAGAGATAAAAAAAAAAAATGAAGCGAGGCGCTCTCGCTTCTCTCTTCGGTTTCTGGAAAAAATGTGGGGAAGCCCTGCTCGCCCTAGTGCAGGCGGTGCTAGCGGTCGGCATCAGCAACGAAAGGCGTCCGCATACCTGGTCATCTCCTTGGCCTGAACCAGAACCGCCGTTGCTTAGCCGCCCCGATAAAGGCTTTGACAAAAACGCCGCCTTTGTCTCGCGGAGGAGAAGTAGATCTGGGGAGAGACCTGGTCTAGAAACCTCTCTTGCGCGATCATGCCACTCTCAAATAAGGAGTGGTAAACGGAAGTTGGGAACCTACCAGAATTGGTTTTGTGGGTCCGTCAAGAAGAAGAAAAAAATGGCATACAATGAAAAAGTGAAAGCCGTGTGGCGATTCACGCTCCCATCGTCAATAGAATGGGATGATGTTGAGTGTGCTAACGAGGGGCTGCCTAACGAGGTGATCTTGTTGGATCCCTTGTGTCCCAAAGGTCAGATGGAAGACCACTGTCCTTGCCCCAATGAATTTCCAACTGTTCCTGAGAAGCTCCAGCTACTGGCGGCGACTTTGCTTCTTGGGGGTTGGCTGCGTTCGGAAACAGGGAGGAGATGTTCCAAGCAAGAATCCCGGTGTGCTTCCGACCATGTGCTTAAAATGGAGGAGCCCCGTGGTAGGGATGGCGATCTGCCTCTCGGGGAACAGAACCGGCCCGCCGGGAAGTCACCGACGTTTGTTCGGCGGTCTCGTCCTGGCCATGGCTGTTACTGCGTAACGGTGAAAGATCCCCATATCAATATCAATTCCGTATTTGGGGGGATCCCGTCCTTTTTGAATTATCTTTTATTTTCTACCAGCTCTCCACATCCAAATAGAAAGCCCGGAAGGTCTAACCGACTGGGGAGTAGTGGACTGGTGAACGTCTCTTCGCGGGTATTTAATTCCACCTCCCTTAGCTCTCCTGTTCGCACTTTATTGAGGCGTACAGAAGCAGCAGTGGAACGTGGGCAACCCAAACCTAGAGATCGTCAGGGAGCTTTTACCTCAGGTAATTATTTCCCTCCTCCCTCGTTCGTTTTTTCCGGGCCTGTCCACAGTAGAGGCCCCTATGTCCCGCAACCGATATCCATGCACGTCTTGCATGAGAAGGAGGTGGGGGGTAGTGCTCCGTCCCTGATTAAGGTGGATGGGATTACTAACACTCGCCCTATTGCCTTATCGGTTCAGGATCATCCCATGGCGCGTTTAGCTGCGGATCAGGTGGTGGAATTTTCGTTGGAAGAGGTTCAATCCACTAAGTACCGAGCAACTCATTCCTTGATCGGGCGGTTGTTCACTGATGCTCGGGTGAATTTGAATGAGATAAGGGAGGCTCTAATCTCTCCATGGCAGGTGCAAGGGCGTTTGAAGGTGACCTTGACGAAGCATGGGCTACTCGAGTTCACCTTGCCGTCAGAAGAATCCATGTCCTGGGTCCTCAAGAGAACACCATGGGTGGTTACTGACAAGATTCTTCACCTTCGATCATGGGTTCCGAACATATCGAAGAGTATTTACACGGAGATGGCTATGGTCCCGTTGCGTGTTCAGCTCTGGAACATCACAGAGGACTGCTGCACTCCCCAATTTGGGAGGAAAATGGCGACTAGCACGCTGGGTCCGGTGCTGGAGACTGGTGTTTTCGCTAGTCACGAGACTGGGGAATATTTTGTGAAGGTTCGCACAGTGCTGGATCTCACAAAGTCGCTCCGTTCGCAAATCATGGCAACCAGTGACGATACGGGAGGATTCTGGGTGAATTTTAAATATGAGTATCTCCCGACTTTCTGCTATCGCTGTGGCCGGGTGGGACATGCCAATCGCAATTGCACTTTTGATCCGCCGGCTGGTCAGGAAAGATACGGTCCTCACATGACGACCAAAAAGCTTGGAACCAGGGTGTATGAAGCTGAGGAGAGGCCGCACCAATTCCGGGGCCACTCACGTTCAGTATGGGTCAACCAAGGCCTGCGAGAACAAAGGGACTTGCACTCTGCCCCGCCAGTAGCAGTGGAGGAGGCCGGAAAATTGGAGACCTCCCAGGACTCGGGCTCTGCTGGGGCACCTGTTACCCGCGCTAAGTCTTTAGTGCGCAGCCCGAGGAGGTTTCCTGTGCCCAAATCGCCGAAATTAAGGCTGGCCAGGGGTAATCGCAAGCGTACTCCCAAGCTGCGCTCCTCAGGTGAGGCTCGTACTACTTCGGCTGATCCTGATCGCGGCTATGAAATTGGAGAAAATAGGGGGCAGCCTCGAATCCCTGCTGCTGGGAACAGAAGCCGGTCGGCGGTGGGGATCGGTTCCCAGGATGGTCAGGTGGAGGTGAAGAAGGAGAGGGGGGCAGCGGACCGGGCTCCCGTGACCCATGAACAACAACCCCTTTCCGCGGCTGCTGACGGGCCAACCTACCGGCGCCGGCTAATTCTTTCAGATTCGGAGGACGAACGACCCACGGGCGACCCCCCTAAGCTGAAAAAGAAAGATAAATCGGCTTTGGGGGGAAGGAGGAGGCTGGTTAAGGCAGCTGACAAATTGGGGGAAGATGGGGTGCATCTGGCCCCGCCATACCCTAACCCTTCATCTTCTCGGCCACTGGACACAGAGGTGGATGGACCAAAGAAGAAGAAACAGGGGCGAGAGGGGAAGAGGAAGAGTCATACCATGAAGAAGGTTGAGATGGCGGCTGGGGAAGGAGGTGGTAGCTTGCCAATTAAGGCAAGTTCTCCTCCCAGTCAGGCCGTCGATGGCGTGCAGACCAAATCTCCCACCAGTGCTCTGCTGGATTCGGGAGCTTCATTGTCGGAGGAGGAGGGGAATTGCTTTGAGGTCAGAAGCCGATTCCCTGCAGGTGACATGACGCACGCTCGATCCATGCTTGGGCGGGTCCAGCAGGTGGTATCGGCTTTGGAGTCAGGAATGCTGCTACAGGATGATAAAGATACTAGCTTTGTGAAGCGAGCGAGTGCGGGGACTGGAGTTGGTGACGGCACTGTGTTGGCTGGGAAGGTTGAGCCTGCGATTGATGAGTATGGTACGAACCTCCAGCAACCAACACAGATCTGCCAGAAGCGCTTATTTGAGGAAGTGGAAGGGGAGGTGGGGGAGGACCCTACTCCGAAAAAACAGTTTGTGGAAGATATCTCTGTAACGGTGGAGGAAGCCAGCCGAGAGTGGCCCCAAGCGGATAAATGAGGCTTCTCTCCTGGAACGTGCGTGGGATTGGTCCGTCCCTCACGTTCCAAACAGCTGTCGGGCTAATTCATTCCAATAAACCGGACCTTGTTTTCTTTTCTGAAACAAGATCGCGCCGGAGAGTAGTTTCCCGTCGTATGAGGGGGTTAGGTTTTGCTTTTTCCAATTGATTTTTTGTTGACGCTGTTAGCTCGTCTGGTGGTCTTGTTCTTGCTTGGGCTCCTGGTGTGGATGCCTCAGTTTTTTTTCATTCCGATTTCTGTATTTGTGCTCGGATTAATGAAGTTGATTTCTCGTACATTGTGGTGTTCGTTTATATTAGCTGTAATGCAGCAATTAGAGCTACCCAATTAGCTCATCTTCAAGACATTTGTTCCAATTTGCAACTTCCGTTTGTGGTTATTGGTGATTTTAATTCCACTCTTCATGAGGGTGAGAAGGATGGGGGAAGCCAATGGAGTGCGTCTCAGGCTATTAGCCTTAGAGATTTTATCAATGACTGTGGCCTTCATGATCCTGGGTTCCACGGTGACCAGTTCACCTGGACTAATAAACGGATGGGCGCGGCATGTGTTCGAGAACGGTTGGATAGGGCTCTGATACCCTGGTAAAGCATTTTACGGACCAGGGTTCGGATCATCGGGCTCTTCTCTTGTCTGACAAGCCCTATGTCCGTAATAGCCGTCCTCTCTTCCGATTTGATGCTCGCTGGGCGGATAATCCTGAGGTTAGGGCAATGGTTCGATATGTCTGGGCTGAGCCGGCCCATGGAACTCCTATGTTCAGGTTATGGGAAAGGCTGAAAAGGCTTCGACATCTGTTATATGATTGGAGTAGAGCTGGGACCACTAATTCCCTTCGGAACATCAAAACGCTCCAAGCTGAAATTGACAGGGTCAAGTCTATTCATCCAATTCACTGGGAGGAAGTGAAAACCCTCGAATTGGAGCTCAGCAGACAGTGGGAGGCGGAGGAAGTCTACTGGCAACAGAAATCGCGTGT